TGCTGGGCTCCTTTCTCTGTCAAGTTAGCCTGCCTCAAGTGTCTCGCTGTAGTCTCAGCTGCGTGAGGTGCAGCGTTCCTGTGCCCTGAGAGAACAACAGCATTAGCTGCCAGACACTTCCATGTGGTGGAGAATTTCACCCGGCCACATTTACCAGGTGCCCGCTCAGGGAGTGCAACGCTCTAGAACAGGGTCCACCCTGAACAGAATATGTGCTTCCTCTAGCCATGGAGAGCTGGTCTTTCAGCAGACAGGGCCTGCATGTTGACTTTGGGGTGAGTCCAGGGAGTTTCTCCTGCCACCCTGAGTTGTGGATTTCAAGTTCAGTTCCTGGGATGAGTCAGCCTGACAGGGCCACAAGGTGCCCAGACGGTTAGCCAGACATCGTCTAGGGCACGTCCCTGTGAGCTCCCAGAGGGGTTGGCATCCTGCGGGGCACGCCCATGGCCCTGCCCTGTAAGATACCTGTATCCTGTCCCGACCGCTGGGTAGCACAGACGGGCTGTGCACAGGGCCCCGGGGGCGTCCACCCTTCTGGCCTTGGGGCCAGGTTTGAGCGCGTAGCCCTTCTACTGCTCAGACAGAGCTGTGCTGGCGGTTCTGGCCCTCTGCCTGCAGGTCTTCAGGGCACAGTGGACATCACTGCAGTAAATTCAGCATGAACTGAAAATAGTGGGTTGAAATGCAAGCCCTGTCCTCTACACCCGTGCAGCCTTATGTCACAGTGTCCCTGAAGTGCCTTCTACAGGTAAAAATAAATTTTCTCCAGCTCTAGCTTTGAAACAGTGTGGAGAGACAGTTGTCAGCTTCCTGGTTCCTACAGGTGAGAACTCTGTGGAGGTGAAGCATGAAGACCACTCCACTTGGGCCAGACTGTAATCCTAAGCTGACCACGACGCCTGCAAGCTGCTGCACTAGAAGCAAGGCTCTTAGAATGCAAGGGCTCTGTTTTTGTTTGAGGTCCCGAGAGGACTGGGTGGAACCTGGCCTTTCACCCCAGCCGAGGTCCTGGAGTCCTCTGAATCCGGTCATTGCGAGTGGTTGCATCCATTCTTCAGCTCCACAATCTGTATCTTTACTTCCCTGATTTCTCAGGGACTTGAAGAGGCCCTCTCGATTCTTGGCCCTGAGTGAGCAGTGCCGGGTCTGCTGCAGGACGAGAAGGCGCTGCTGCTTGGGTGGGAACAGCATTCACGTCCAAGAGTGTCCTGGGAGCCCTGAGTGCTGAGCTTGCAGGCCTGAAAGAGGACAGCTGTGTTGGATGGTTCGAGCTGGAGCCCACAGAACGTGGCCTCCTTGTGTGTGTGTGTGTGGGAAGCAGCGTACAAGCCTGCCTCACTGGGGTGCACATCCCACTCAGGCACAGGCCATCTGTTCAGCGTCACCAGGGAAAGACTGGCCTGGCTGTGGAGAACCAGAAAGAGAAGCCAGGCAGATGGAGTGTAAGCTTGATGCCTGTGGAGGTGGGGGGCACCCACAGGTGAGGGCAGGTGGCATTGGCAAGTGGCACCAGGAGGTCACAAACATGTTCCTAGCACAGCCGTGCACTGCCATAGTGACCCATCCCTGGGCCAGTGTGATCTGTAGAGCTGGGGCAGCCCGCCGTCCTGGGCTGTACCGCTGGGTGGTCTTGGCCTGCTGAACTGGCATGTTTTGACATTAAAGGGCAAGGTAGTGACTTCAGGTCTGTGGGGCTAGAGCCAGGCTGGAGCTCATTCTGCCAGACAGGGTGCTCAGTGCGGTCTCCTTGGGTGGACCGAAAAGTTCCAAGCACATCAGAAAACAAGCATTCTTGTGTTCATGGAATTCAGATCAGGAATTTGACATTTATTGTTTTTCTGGGTCTCTCATTATTTGGAATTCAAAGGGTAACTCAGAAGACAGCAGTGCTCCTGTGGAAACGTGGTCCACCACGAATGCACCACGAAGTGTGGCTTAATGCTGCCAAACACAGTTTTCATCCTTTTAGTTGTTATTGTTTTGTTTGTGACAGGGCCTCACTTGTAGTCAGGCGTGAAGGTGATCCTCTTCCTCAGCCTCCAAAGTGCTGGAATTACAGGCCTGGCTACAAAACGGCTTTTGGGGCTTGAAGGTTGCCACTGTGCGTGGTGTGTCCCCCCACAGCCCTGCCCACCAGGAATCCTGTGGCCTCCTTGCGGGCCCTTGCTAAGGGCCTGGCGGTCAGGCAGCCAGTCTCATACTTTAGATTGAAACTCCTTTCCTATCTAACAACCTAGAAAGGGACTGCAAGTTGATTCAGGTACTTTTTGTCTTTAATCTTTTGTTTTAGTGCCAGGGATCAAACTCAGAGCCTCCCACATCCTGGGCAAGCACCGCGCCACCAGCCCCATGCAGCCCACATACTGTTCTATTTTTACACACTGCACCCCCTCTGCCGATGCCTTCTCCCTTTCCCTGGAATTCTACTGAAGAAACAATCCTGGGAGCAGCCCAGCGGCTGGGGTGAGGGAGGGAGGGCCCACCCCGGGCCGGCAGAGCGGCTCTCCTGCTCCGTGCTGGGTGTGGGGCCTGCCTCGGGCCTGCACCTCCCTCCCCCAGCCCACATCCTGGAGCACACAGCCGTGCACTCCTGCGGGGTCAGAGTCCAGATCAGCAGGAAGTGCCCCCACAGTGTGGCGGGCAGCTCGTCACCAGGAGGGCACCAGAGGGTGGAAGAGGATGCCAGGGTGTCTGATTCTAGGTGTTTCGAGGGCACCAGGTGCTGGGCCACGTTGGCTTTTAACGCCTGGTGCTGATCAGGCTGTGCATATAGGACATTCTGCGCCTTCCTGCTTGAGTTTTGCCACAGGTTTGCAATTTGGGACATTTGTGTCCTCCACCCATCCAGCTCTTTCTTCATGCTTTTTGCAAATGCTTGGGGAACACCTGGTAGGTGTCACCTTCTGGCCAAAGCCTGGTGACAGGGACTGCCCACTTGCCCAGTGCTGAGGAATGGAGGGACCCGGGGCTCCGTGTGGTGTTTCTGTGATCTGAAGACCTTGCTCAGGACCGCCGGGTTCTACTGTTCCTTCAGAGGGCTCCGATGAGTCCCCTGCCACCCTGGGGCCTGGGAAGAGCAGGTGGTTACCTGAAGGGAAGGAGAACCGGGAAGAAATGAAGCCTGCAGGAGAGATGCCTGGCCAGGGCGCCTGCTCACAAGGACAGGCCTGGAGCTCGTGGGCCAGCAGACAAGAAGAGGCTGCTGGCTGCCTCGGCCCTGCTTGATCCTTGCAACCATCCTCCTTTTTATTTATGTAGTTTTGGGGGGGGGGGTTGAGACAGGGTCACTTTATGTAGCCCAGGCTGGCCTCAAACTCGCAGCAATCCTGCCTCAGCCTCCTGGATGCTGGGATTACAGTGAAAGGAGGTGCAGACCCGAGGCCCTGCACCCACAATAGAGCAGGAGAAGCCACTCTGCAGTCCCTGATGTCAACCTTTAGCACTAGTGGAGTGTGGATGTCATCGCTCCTTTGCTTTCTGAAGGATGCCGAGAGCAATGAGCCCCGGGCTGCTTCACCAGCCCGCCATGCCCAGGCAGCCAGCTTGGAGCTTGGTGCCCGCTCCAGCCCCTGCCCTCCTCTGGATTTCTCAAGTGCCTGGGCACAGAGCCAGCAAGGGATGACATGAGGATGACTGAACCAGGGCAGGGCCGAGGCATCCAGCACTGTGCCCTTCGGGTTTGGCTTGCTTCATGGGAATCATCAGCCGGTGGTCCCTGAAGGTCGGTTGTCTCCCGTGACGCCCTTGCCGAATCCCCTTTGTTCCTGCGTGCCAGAGAACAGTGGGGTTGATCCCCGGCCTGCAGCAGGGTGCAGACAGAGCCAGGCAGGGTGGGTGGGCCATGCCTCAGTGGACCAAGAAGCCTCGGAGCTGAAGTATCCACTTCTATTTGAGGAAGGACACAGTGGTGACTGACACCCCTCAGTGCTTAGGAGTCTGTACCCCTCTGTGTGTCCCTGGAGTCTTAACAGCAAAGCCAGGCAGGGGTCCCGCCCAGCACCCAGAGGATCATGCCTGCCCACCCTGACAGCTCTAGCCGCCTCTCACCGCTGAGAACCATGCCTGCCCACCCTGATATCACTAGCTGCCTCTCACCCCTGCCCACTGGGCCACCCGACCTTCTGGAGTTTTTCCTTGCTGTGGAGTAGCTGGCTATGCCCGGTGGCCTGTGGGGTCTTCTGTGTGTGGTGCCCGTGCCCGCACGCACGTGCCCTGTGGGGAGCGGCCTGAGTCCCCCTGGTCTTCATGTTCCACAGCCTTGCCTGATGTCAACACATTGCTTTAGGCCCGTGGATGTTCTTGAGTGGATGGGTGGACGTCCGGGGACTTCCTAGGGAGGACAAATGCGAAGTTAGCGGGAAGGCCTCAGGTAGTTTTCACATTAAAAGAAGGCTTAAGATCCCTGGTGTAACTGTAAATATTCAGATCTTTAAAAGGAGTATTCTGGGGGCTAGAGTACAGCTCTGTGGTAGGTGTCACTGCCTCACCGTGCAAGCCCTGGCTCGGTACCCAGCACCAACAGTGAAAAGCACTGGATTTGGCAATCACAGGGTGTGGGCTTAAGCCTGTCTTCTGCCGCTGTGAATGCACCAGGCCGTGAGCCCTCCCTTCACCCCTAAATGGCAGCCTTCATCACAGAATGCAGGCCAGAAAAACAGCTCTCAGCTGGGGCCAGGTGGGCGGCAGGCGCCCTCCGGACCAGCAGAGAAATCACAGGAGCACGTGGGTCTTCTGCCGGGAGGCCGCGGCTGCAGTGCCGGCACAGACGGTCCAAGCGTGCTGGGTTTTCGTTCCACCACTCGGGCCCACTGCGCTGTGTTACCTCGAGAGGGTCCGGATGGCGTGGTCTTTTTCCCCAGAAAGAAAGACTTAGAAGGAGGGTCTTGCCACACTGTCCAGCTGCGAGCTTCATGCTCTTAGAAGAAAATTATTCTATAAACACAGAGCTGACCCAGCCTGGCTGCTTGGAAGACATTCGTGTGTCTGCTCACAGTTTCCAGGACTTGGGTGCACAGAGTACAAAACGCCTAGACACGGGCAGCCTGACTGTAGCTGCAAGCCAGGCAGCAGCGTGTCACTTGCATCAGTCTAATTCTGGGATTTCACCCTTGAATGGTGCGTGGTCGCTGGAAATGGAACTGGGTTTGCAAAATAGTGGCACGGGCTAAAGAGCCAGCCAGCGGGCCTGCTTAACAGCTGGCAAAACTTTTAATGTTTTGCAAATTAATTATTGCCCCCAAAGAACTCAGCTCTGTTTTCTATGTCCCAAAACGACGGTTTGTACTTGGTGGTGGACCTGTTGTGTCCGGGCAGCTATTCATAGGAAGGAGACAGGGTCCCCTGTGTCCCCCTCCACTGCAGAGCATCCCTCTCTGTCTAGGAAGTATGTCCTCATCCAAGATGGTGTGTGTCAGCCCTGAAGATGCTGTCCTGTCCCTTTTTGCAGATCCAAGAGTGGCCTGGGCCTCTGATCGTAGCCACTGCACTCCCGACCCAGGAATAGTCCAGGCTTGGGAAGGGAGTTGCTCTTGCCTGCCCGCTCCCCGGGTGCCCGAGCAGCTGAAGGACAGTGATCTCTGCATCTGGGGGAAGTGACTCCCCCCAAGGGCCCTGGGCAGCGTCCATTGTACAGGGCAGGTGGCTGTACCCCACACATGGCCACGTCACGGTTAACGCTCCCTTGGCGTCAGAGGATGGACTCCGCCCTTTGCCCTGTGCCTTCCTCCCATCTCCACTCATGAATTAGAAAGGACCTCATGGAAAATCTTTTTATAGACGTGGACATATTGTTTCTATGCTGCCTTTCTATTTCGGGGTAGAGAGAAAAGGAAGAGCAGGCTGGGCCACGCGTCGGAAGCCTGCTCCGAGCCCGCTCTTACTCGGTGCCGCTTTCCGCCCAAGCAGCCAGCTGCAGTCGGCTCTGTGAGAGCAGAGTAGGTCACTGAGCCCCCAGGGCGCCCTCCTGAGGGGAGGGGGGGGTGCCCCCGTGGCAGGAGCCTTGCAGTGAGCCTGGGGACTGCCAGCAGAACACGCCCTCTGCACACACACCAGGTGGCACGGCCCACTGACCCTGGGGCCACCTCTCCACAGGTCGCTGAGGAGCCGGTGTCACCATGACTGAGCGCTTTGACTGCCACCACTGCGGCGAGTCCCTCTTTGGCAAGAAGTATGTGCTGCGGGAGGACAGCCCGCACTGCGTGGCCTGCTTCGATGAGCTCTACGCCAACACCTGCGAGGAGTGTGGCAAGCGCATCGGCTGCGACTGCAAGGTACCCACCATGCCTGCCCTCCTGACCCCGCTCTCTCTGTGCCTCCCTTGGCCTGTCGCTGGAGCCCCCAACAGCCCCCTGGGCTCCCAGGCCCAGACACTGTCTCCTTCATCTGCTGCCCCTCCTGCTGCCCCTCCCCCGGGACCTGCTGTTCTGCCTGTTTGCCTCCTGGTGACGGACGAGGCGCAGGTGCTCCTGTACACATTGGCAAACGGGAGTGTACCAGAGAGAGGGCGGGTCTGCAGTGATGGATGGAGCCCGGAGCCCCGGGGATGAATGGCTCCCTTCTCCTGGGGTGTGGGCAGCTGGCTGCAGGAATTCACAGCTTCCCGTGGCGTGGTGTAGGGCCAGACTGGGTCCTGCTGCCGGGCCAGCAGGTGCAGGCGGAGCCCTGCTTGGGGTTCTCTGCATCCTTAGATCAGCCCAAGCCAGGAGGAGGCCCTGGGTCTGTGACATTCTGACCTGCAGGCTCCCCAGACCACCCCGTGTCCAGAGGCCAGGCTTCTGGAGGGTGACGGGGCCATGGCTGAGCTGTGGCTGTCGTGCTGTGAGGAGGTGGTCATCGGGTACAGCCCGGAGGGCTCGTCTCCCTACTGGGCTCATCCTCCTCTCTGCTTCCTGTGAGCAGCTCTCTTGCACCCGGGCTTCCTCGAGTCCTGCTGCCTTGGAGCCTGTCAGCCAGGGGTATAACCTCTGAAGCCCGTAGGACAACTAAACCGATCCTCCTTCACATTGTGAGTGAGTGCTGGGCCTTGTGTGCTGGCGGTGAGAAAGCGGCCAAGACAGGGCTGTGTTGGTTAGCCCTCTGTCACTGCGACAAACACCTGCAGCAGGCTACATACAGGAGGGAAAGGCCTGCTTCGGCTCACGGTTTCCAAGGTTCTGGTCCATTGGGTTGCTGCTCTTGGCCTGGGTGAGGCACAGGATCATGAGAGGAGTGCACGGTACAGAGTGACAAGGTGGGGCAGGGTCCCTGTGTCCCCAGGAGTGCCTCATCCCAGTGCAAGACCTCCTCTCCTGGGCCCTCCCTCCCCCCAGCACAGAGCTGGGGCCACACCCTGACACACAAGCCTTTGGGGAACTTTTCACGCCAGTTGGTGTCCCCGAGTGCCAGGGGCGCTGAAGTCCTGGCCTCCTACCTGCCAGCCATGGACACGCCCACAGGACAGCACTTCAGGTGACTCCTATCCTCAGGGCCACAGAGCCTGCTGTGGAAGGGGTAGCGTGGGGCCCTGTAGGAGTCCCAGACTCAGACTCCGAGGGAGCTCACAGCGTTTCCTGTCTCTCCTGCCCTCGCACTGGTTTCTGTTCTGAGAGGTGTTGCCAGCCTCTGTCACGGCTATGCGCTTCACAGGGCTGTGTCTGCAGTCCCGCGCGGCACGCCCAGTATGCGTTCCCTACCTGTCTTACCGCATCCTCCCTGGAAGAGGCAGGGGCTGGGGAAGGCAGCTGAGGGCGGGGCCTCTGCTCCGAGGGGAAGGGAGGGGTGTGTGACCTGGCCTCTGGGGCCCAGCTGGCTGGGAGTGGCAGGCGGAGTGCTGGGAAGGGAACTCCATGGCCAAAGGTGCAGTCGTTCAATGTCCAGAGGTTCAGCTCCTGTTCCTCTGGCTGCCGGCTCTGCCCGAGGTGCATCTTGCAGCACCCGGCAGGTGTCCCCATTCTTCCTGCTCCACTGCTTTCCTTCACCATCAAAGAATGCCCAGGGATTGGATTAGAAGACAAAGGGTCCTTCTGGCCGGTGGTTTCTGGGATGTGTGGCTGTTTGAGCTCTTTGCTGTTAGGCCTATGGAAAGGCACACACAGGGTGGGTGTCCTCAGCAGAACGAAGCAACCTGAGCCAAGAGGATGGGCCCCTTGTGCCCTGAGGGCACCACCTGGGACCTCAGGGCCTTCCCCAGGGCCACACCACCCTTGGGCTGAGCCATTAACATCCGGGCCTCAGGGACATTCCAGAGCCCTACGATCAGCCTCCTGGGTTATTCGAGGGCTGGCACCCTGACTCCCTCGCTGTGTGGACCTCAGCGCTCCCTGGCCCCTCAGCACCCAGCCTGCGCCCTCTGGGGTGCAGAGGTGAGGGTCCCCCTGCACACCTGGGGACGCTGTTAGCCGGACTCACGCTCCTGCTTCTTCCCCTTCTCTGCAGAGGGCTCCAGCCCGTCCGCCCTGCAGAAAGCCTCCCCCCTCTCTCTATCAGTTTCCACTGTACGAACAGCAGTAAAAATGTTCAGCGAACAGCAGTAAAAATGTTCAGCTGGAGGAGGAATCCCTAGGCGAGAAAAGTATTATTCTATAAAAGCTTTGCCTGCAGGGGAAGGGCTTCACTGTATGAGCTTCAGCTGTCCTAGCTTCCGCTTAGAGAAGGCTTCAGATATTTGGGCTAGGCCATTCTCGACAGCGGGTGGAGTCAAAGCCAGAAACCCCAAAACTCATTTATCCTTTCTCCAGAGCACGTTGGAGGAAAGACCCAGGAACAGGTCATCACCCTGCAGGGATTTTATGAACAAATCAACAAGAGTCCACTATGCAGGGCCAAAACCCACAAGGCTGCCGCAAAGTCAGGAGTTAATCACACTGAACTTTTCAACCCAGATCAACATTTCAAGATATGTGGGCTTTGCCATGTGATTTTTCTGTGTTTTCGAACAGAAAGAGATGTGGAGTTGCAGTTAGACCCTGCGGCTTGGGGAGCTTGCGGGCGTCTGTGGTGGCTTCCTTGATTTCCAAACAGCGATGCAGTTGACACTTTGGAGGAAGCAGTGACAGAAGAAACACTCCTGTTACTTAAGCAATAACAAAATGCAGCTGGCATGTGCTTGAGCGAAGCTCTGAGCCGTGGCCCGAGGGCCGCTGCCAGCCTCCAGAGGCCCCACGGTACCAACCCTCTGAAGGACACCTTTGTGTGGATGAGGTCAGAATCCTGGCACACCTATGGGAACCGGGCTGAATTTTCAGGTGCCACTGGCTTTTGCTTGAGCCTGTCCCCTCGTGAGTGTGCGAGTATTCGATGCGGTTTCTGTGTCCCGACTCTGTCCCAAGCTCAGGGGCGCTGGCTGGGGTGTGGCGCTGAGAGGCCACAGATGCCCTCTGGCCATCCCCTGACCTTGCACCTTTCTGAGACTTTTCTCAGCAGCATGTTGAGACTACAAAGTATTTTTGGAGACTGCTCACAGATTTTCCTTGCATCCACCTAAGTTCCGGGCTTCAAAAGTTCAAGAAATAAAGCGAGGCTGGCCGATCACTCTGGAGTCGCTAGTGTGCACCTAAAAATCGGTGGTTTCCACAAACCCTGGGCCACACACCTATGCAAAGCACACAGTGCAAGCAGTGGGAGCGGCTGCCCCACCAGTTGCGTGTCAAGCCACAGATACCAGGAGATGTCCCCACTGTGCCATTGAAACACCGTGGGCTCAGTGGTAGTAGCTTTCTCATTCTCTGTCACGTGGAAGCCAGAAACTACACCACTTCATGCCACAGTCACAGTCCACAGGAGGCGGGGAGGCTGAGGCCCGAGGCCCGGGACTTGCCTGGCCTTGCAACTGACCTAGATGAGCAGGCCGCTCACAGCCCGGAGTTTAACCCCAGGAGAAACCCTGAAGGCATTTGGTTGGTTCCCCACCTACCGGCCCCAGATTCTCGGAAACTGTGGGCCCCGGAAGTGTTTCCAACTCCCTCCTGAGCATGGAAGCCGGTAATCGCAGCCTCTGGGAGGCTGAGGCAAGAGAACCGCAATTTCCAGCCCTCCCTGGGCAATTTAGGGATGTAAGGAAACTGTATTCCAAACTAAGAAGTTACAAGGAACAGCTGAGAATGTAGCTTGCAGCTGAGGCCCTGAGCCCGGCCCCTGCAGTGCAAGAACTTCATTGCCAGCCCCAGCTGGACTGGAGCGGAGCGCGATTCTGCCCAAGCGCTGGCCGCGTGTCCAGAGTGTCTGGCTCGCAACCCAGCGTGAGTGCCGTAGCCGGGGCTCTGCTCCTCTGCAGGGAAACAGTTTCTTTGAGGCGGTTTTGAGAATTATCTGATGTCCTTGAATTAACGATACCCGCAGTGGGCCCCTCCACACAGGAGGGCTCCAGTGTACAGAGGGGCTCGGGGCACCCGAGGAGTGGGCGCCCGCGCTGGTGCTGCTCTGGGGAGCTGTGGAGCGGGCGCTGTGTGGGGTTTTAGGCCACCAGGGTGTACACACAGATCACTGAGTGGACTGGGTCACCCTGAGAGGGACCCAGAGGACAGGCACGGGCCACAGACACATCCAGTTCCACTCATCGCTGCTCCTCCCCGGGGCTGCATCTGTGGGAGTCTCCTCCAAGTTTTCCGTTTGTAGAAGCCAGGCCCCAAAGGCGGGCTCCTCGAGTTTCCTTGCCCTCTCTGGCTGGCACTGGCGGCCCCGCCTCATCGAGCCTGCTCCCAGCAGAGTCACCACCCTGTGACACAGACCCCTGGCCGTACAGCAAGGCCTTTGACCTCCCTCCCTCCCTGGTGGTGACTGGACGTTGAGCCGTGTGTGCTTTCTACTGGGAGCAGCCCGTACCACAGCGCTGCCTTCAGAGAACCCCGCGCACTGCCGCCAGGCACTCCTTCCTGCTCCTCTTTATCTGATCTCAGAGGTAGTGACATCTGCATGACACAGAAAGCTACCCTGTCCGGCCTGGCCTGGCCTTGTGGGCAGCCGTGGCCACCGGCTCTGCCTGTCCTCCCGCCCTGGGCCTCTGTCCACTCTGTCCACTCTGTCCACACACCGACCTCCTGAGCCTGCTGACTCCCACCACGGCCCTGAGCTGTGTCCCTGGTGAGTGGCTCCTGTCACTCAGGACGGGGAGCCCAGAGTCTGCCCGCATTGCAGCAGGTGACAGGGCCCTCCCTTCCTCAGGCGGCACAAACCCACGGCATCCATCGGAGACCCTGGGGGTCTGCCACCGGGAGCAGGGTGCACAGGTGCAGCTCTCAGTTGTTCTGGGCTTGAACTGCAGAGGAGAATAGCTGCGTCTCACAGTCATTCTACTTTTAATCTTTAAAGGAACTATCTCACTATTTTCCGTACAAAATTGCAGTGTGAATGCATTAATTCCAGTCAGCATCACTTGGTCACGGCGGGGCTGGAAACCTGGCCTCCCGATTTAGGCTGCCACTGGCTCCTGGTGGACGGGCCTTGGGTGGTGCGCAGCTGCTTTTAAGCAAAGCCTCGGCAGCAGCGAAGCTGAACCAGGTTTGCTCAGATGCAAGATGTGGTGTGAAAGGTCGCAAGAGTGTGGGCGCCTGTGAACTGTCTTCACTGGGTGCACACAGCTTGTTAGGATACTCCTGCCCTCCCCTCCCCTCCTCTGCCCTCCCCTCCCCCCACTCTGCCTCCCCTGCCTTCCCTCCCCCCCCCCCCCCCCCCCCCCCCCCCCCCCCCCCCCCCCCCCCCCCCCCCCCCCCCCCCCCCCCCCCCCCCCCCCCCCCTCCCCTCCCCTCCTCTGCCCTCCCCTCCCCCTCCCTTCCCCTCCCCTCCTCTCTTCCTTTGGTACTGGGAATTGAACCCAAGGCATTGACACTGAGCTACATGTCCAGTCCCCCTCCTTTTTTGTTTTTTTAATTTTGAGACAGAATCTTACCAAATTGCTAAGTTACAAGGCCTAGGCTCACACTTGAGATCTTTTCACCTCAGTCCCCTAGAAAGTAGGTATAGGGTACATTTTTTAAACAGGAAAGAGCAGCACAGTCCTGCCCAGGACTTCAGCTGCTGTGGTCCAATGGGAAAGCAGCTCTGGGGAAACACTGCCTGCTGGCAGGCTGGCTCAGTCTCCTGCTGTGTGGGGGCCTTTGGGTGCTGGGGGCCGCCTGGCCCAGGACTCCCTGGTGGCCAGATGCGGTTGCTTCGGTGTCTCCTTGAAGAGGGATGTGTGCGTGGGGCGTGGGTGCTGCTGCCTGCACCGCACGCCTTCCTTCGGGGCGCTCCCTCCCTGGGCTGTGCCCAGCTGCAGCCCTGACCACCGCGTTCTGCCTGCAGGACCTGTCTTACAAGGAGCGGCACTGGCACCAGGGCTGCTTCCGCTGCTCGCTGTGCCGCGGCACGCTGGAGGACAGGCCCTTCGCTGTCAAGGAGGAACAGCTGCTGTGCACCGACTGCTACTCCAATGAGTACTCATCCCGCTGCCAGGCGTGCAGGAAGACCATCATGCCAGGTCAGCACTCTGTGGGCCCTGGTGCGGGGCGGGGCGGGTGTGCACACGTGCTTGCGTGTGTGTGTGTGTGTGCATGCGTGCATGTGCACGTGTCTGCACACGTGTGCATTTGTGCGTGCATGCATGTATGTGTGTGTGCACGCATGCTGGGTGCAGCTAACACCTCGCACAGCACGTGGTCCTGCAGGGGGCTCTGGGTACCGAAGCATGTGGACCCCAGACCCTTTAGACAGTGGCACAGGGTGTGCATAGATGCCACCGCGTCCCCAGACCCAGGAGGATGCTCATCATGTCCTCTCTCC